GGAGACCAGAGAAACAGCCTCGGAGATATCTGGGAAAAGAACATTCCATTCAAAAGATGGAGTGAATTCCAAAATCCTGCCAGGCTCATTCCTCCCCAAACACATAATTGTAATTTGGTATTGTTGGACGCTGTTTTAGTAATGTCAAACTATCTGGTTTAGGACAGTTTAAGTAAAATAGTCAGGGAGGTGATATTTGAGCAGAGACTTGAAGGAGACCAGAGACACAGCCTAGGAGATATCTGGGAAAAGAACATTCCATTCAAAAGATTGAGTGAATTCCAAAATCCTGCCAGGCTCATTCCTCCCCAAACACATAATTGTAATTTGGTATTGTTGGACGCTGTTTTAGTAATGTCAAACTATCTGGTTTAGGACAGTTGTTTCCTGACCACTTTTTACTTCGTTTGTTGGTCATTGTATGCTATAGGAATCAGCACAACTTTGATAATTGGAATACCCGGTTGGATTTTTGTTTTAATCCTCTCCATTTTAGAGAGAATTACAGATCATAATAAGCAGGCTGATAAGAAGACAATTGTCACAAAAAAATAACTCTAGCCCTGGCTGGTAGCTCAGTGGTTAGAGCATTGGCCCATGGACCAGAGGAGGGTCCCAGTTTCGATTCCCAGTCAAGGGCATGTATCTGGTTGCAGGTTTGATCCCCAGCCCCAGTCGGGGGGTATGTGGGAGGCAACCAATCAATGTCTCTCTCACATTGATCTCTCTCCACTCTCTCTCTCCCCCAGCCCTCTCCCTTCCACTGTCTCTTAAAATCAATGGAAAAAAATATCCTCTGGTGAAGATTAACAAAAAATAACTAAGTCTGACTTTTTAGAACTTTATAATACATATGAAATGAGAATTGATATTCAACATAATGATAGAGTCTCAGCAAGATGCTCAATATTTTGTTAAGATGTATAGCTAGGCAAGCTAACAGACAAGCATTGAAAACAAAGGGTTTTCTTGCTGACATTTAGATAACTGGAAAATTCAGTTATCCAAAATGCCTGTTCCTCAGACTCTGAGATTAAAGTACAGAGGCTTGTTATCATTTAGAGCCCCTGCCATTCATGAATGAGACAAGATAAAAGCAAAGGTACGTTACTTTAATCATGCAGCCATTCAAAAATTATGGAATACTTACTCTATTTAAGGTGCTAGCAGGTATCTGGCCTATTCTTGAGTTACAGAAAGTCCCTGATGTTAAGATATAAAAATGGGTATTTCCCTGGTTCCACTTGCCTTGTCAATGATGATTGAAAATGTACTTTCTCGAATATATTTCACCATGAATTCTATCTACCCCAGCCATGTTCCGAACCCAAGGAATAAGAATCTCCTTCTGAGCGGTTTGAAACTTGATGTAGCCATCCAGTCTAATAGTCTTCCTTTGATTGTATAAAAATTGGATGAGTACTTCTAACATTTTAAGGTTAAGTCCAAATCAGATATGATTCCCCCTCATCTGAAAGTCGAAGCAAAGCTAAAAAGGAAGCAGAAACCAGATTTCTGGGTGTACAAAGGATCCTTTTAAAAACTCCTAAACATGAACCAGATAATTCTGGCCATTTGACTAATAATGGTGGGATGGGATGGTGGGGAAAGGGGAAGAGAATGAATGAAAAATGGAAAATATACTTTGAAAAGCAATAGTGATATTATATAGGATTTTATGCAGAACTAGAACTTTTATCCAAAGCAAATATTTACCAAAGGTGCTATGGGACCTTTCCTGGAGATCTTTTAAGTAGACTCTTAAAACCGCCAATTGTTCTTGTAAATGCTGATAAATCTACATTTTCAGAATATCTTAGAATTTACATATATATACTAGAGGCCCAGCGCACGAAATTCACGCATGGGTAGGGTCCCTAGGCCTGGCCTGCGATCAGAGCCAATCTTCCCCAGCTGCCTGAAGCCGGCCCTGCCCCCTGCCGCTGCTGTTGGTTGCCCTCTGTGTGTGGGGCGACTGGCAGGGTGATTGGGGCCCCGCTCGCACCCGCTTTGGCCTGGCACCGCCCACATCTGCTGCCATCCACCCCTGGTTCCCTGTTCCCCATCTGGAGCCTGCAGGCTAGGGGCAGCTCCTGCATTGAGTGTCTGCCCTCTGGTGGTCAGTCGTTCCGCCATCTGATTGGTTTGCATATTACGCTTTCATATATATATATGTATATATATATATAGATATAGATATAGATATATA